GACTCATTTAATCATTCAAAACGTTATGGAACACATTAATTAACTGAAAAATGTTGCATAGTATGCCTTTAAGACAGCATGAAATGTCAGCTGAGGATATTTCAAAAATGAAAAGAAAAAAGGGACAAAAGAAAACATTAAAAAAACAATAAAAGAGATACGAAGGGAGTGACAAAAATTAGAACAAATAATGTCTATGGGTCCGTTTGTCTCTAATGGGTCTGTTTTATGTGCTGTCTTCTCAATTTAGAGGGCCCCATGCCTGTCTTTGCCTAGGGCCTCTAATTTCCTAAATCCGTCCCTGTATACATCCTTCACAGATGATGATGATGAAGCATACCCTGGCTGGGCTTATCCCCGTCCCGTCCATATTGGCAGCTTGTTTCTGGATTTGGTGAAGCTGGACCATCCTCTCCTTCAGCTCCTTTGTAGTGTCGTCCGCTGCGGCGTACACCGGATCGCCACTACTGCGTCCTTTCACCAGTGCTGCTCTGATGGCGGCCAGCAGTCTGGCTCCACAAACGCTGAAAATCCAACAAACAAACAGATCCAAAGGGATAGTCATTTTAAATCAGAGTTTAAATGCAACAAGAAAAACAGGAATAGTTCAACAAACAACAAGTTTCAGAGGCTCAGCAGCGATATCATTCAGGAAAACAGATGTTCAATGAAAAACAGGCTCTGATATCATCACAGAAGGTGTTTGAGGGAAAACTTCAGTAGGCAGAGAGCGTAAAGGCCCTGCTAAACGAGGTAATCAACATCTCATTAGAGTGACGGACTGAGATCCTCTCCGAAAGGAGCAGAGAGTTCACGCTGCATAAACATGACAATATGTTACGGCTCAACGGAAACATTTTCCCTTCCAGGCCTACATGATCACATGGCAAAATAACCACAATCACTTGTGTTGAGGAGCCAAAACATAATGTGTGATGACGTAGAGCTCGAGGATTGATCATCAAAGGCCGGCTTTGATGTAGCAAAAATCAACGTGCTGATTTGGTGTTATCTTAAAAAACACATGAATAGAAGTCATCAGTTGGATTTCGTGGAAATAATAACCTGCTGTGGAACAGGTGTATTTTATGATTACAGGTGCGATTTCAGGGAGCTCGTGCGTGAAGGTCTGCTCCTTATCGAAGGAGCTGGAAACTTTCCCAGCAGTCTGAGCGGTGGACCCCAACAGGAGGGGCTAGGTGCAGCTTTCAGGACAAAATGTTACAGAGAAGGGAATTTTACCAGAAAGGAATAACATGCACTTCAATTTAAAACGTCATGGATATTAAATATGCTTTATAAACTTATAGCAACAAATGGAAGATTTTCAAAGCTCTGCAGAGACTTTCTTAGCTTATCGCTAACACTGAAGGTTGGTAGGAATAAAAATGTTCCTGTCATATCCTATCAGATTTTCATTTACAACACAGTTCGTGTAATGAAGAAATCAAAACATCTGCAATGATTTTACATTTCTTTTAAGCAAATCATCTTCACCACACCGGTTGTATTAGTCGTAGGTTAACACTGCATGATATGTAATCCGTATACTTTAGGGTGGCAACTAACGAATATTTTGCAAATCGATTCATCTGTCAATTCTTTTTTTGCAATTAATAAAAAAAAAAAAAAGCTCCTCAAAAAAAGACTTTTGCGAAATTAAACCAAGTGAAACTAAAACATTTCCATTGGAGGAGTTCCGGATAGAGCAGATTGACAGACGAAAAATATTTTTGTCTTAAAACCTTTGCGTATATTAGCTGCGTGTATGAATTAAGATGCTTTTACCGAAAAAAATTAGATGACTGTTGATATAGTGGCTGAATTTAGGTGTACGAGCTGACGTATAACTTAGGGATGCACAATATTGGGATTTTGGCCGATATCCGATATGCCGATATTTTAAAACTCATGTAGCCGATAACCGATATCAATACCGATGTTAAAGCTGGACAAAAATAAGTAGTCATTGAAAATAGCAGTTTTGTTATCCATTTCTGACACTTTGAAAAATAATATACTCAAATATATTTTCATATGGTGATATCAAATTGATTTTTAAAACGCGGTATCGATCTATTTTACTTTCAAAATCTCGTGAAATTTCATTGTTCTGTTACAAACTCTCGTGATATTTTGCAAATTCTTGTGAGATTTTGTTAGTAAAATAGATCGATACCGCGTCAATATATCAACATATAAAAAAATGGCAAAATTTAGTACATTTTTGGGGGATTTTGTAGCATAACAATGACATATAGCAATATTTCATTAGTAAAAGAGATTGATATGGTGTTTTTAAATGGCAATATATCAGCATATGAAGATATTGGGATATTTTAATGTATCAATATTTTTTCCCCTCATCTTTAGAAGTTTTTAAGTCTGTAAAAAATACGTTTTTGAGGAAGAAGAAGAAGTAGTATTTTTTTTTAGACTTTAAAAACTCAGAAGCTGATCAAATATCAGGTTAAATATCGGTGGGGTGGCCGATGTCCGATATTAAGTTTTAAGGCAGATACCGATAGGGGGCCGATTATATCGTGCATCTCTAGTATAACTAACTGGCCTGCATAAAATAACGGGGGAAAAAAACTGATTTTAAGACGGGATTATTTCTTTATAATAGAAATTTTCTAACTTTTGGGACAATATGGTCTGATAAAGATAACATTTATATACATGTTTAAGCCAGAATGATTTGAAATTTAAATATGACTTCCCTACGAATTTCAACGCAAAATGTCTACATATTTTCTTTTTACACTTTTAGTACAGTTACTGCTTTAAGCGGGTTGCTCTGTCAGCTAAAGGCATGTTTTAGAGTCTCTATATTCCAGTTAACGATTAATTGAATACTGAATTATTTCAATAATCGATTAATCACAATTAATCCGCTTCATTTTTTTCAGCCGTAGTATACTTTTTTGCATTTCAGAAACATTTTATAAAACAAGGTTTCCTGTATTCAATTCAGTTTATTTCTATAGCGCCAATTCACATCACATGTCATCTCAAGACACTTTATCGCTCACCAGATCATACAGTCAGATTGATTAAAAGTTTTCTATCTAAGGAAAACCAGTTGATTGCATCGGCTCATTTACTGATGCAATCCCTCACACTAAGCATGCTTATAGCGACAGTGGAGAGGAAAAACTCTCTATTAACAGGAAGAAACCTCCAGCAGAACCAGGATCAGTCTTAGCGGCTATGTAGAATTGTACTTTCCTGATTTGGCTTCATCTCTTTTTAACCGCCTGATGACATGAAATAATGTGCGGTGCGTAGTTTTGTTGACTAAAAGTGCTTAAAACCAGATAAGAGACTAGCTTTGGTCAATACATTAGGAAGAATACCTTCACAACTGAACAATAAACAAGTTAATAATTTACACTAATTCAAGTTAAGATGAACTGTTTTGGATACCTAGGATCAGGAATCTCCCCCAGAATTTCCTCCAGATTGTCCATAAACAGGACATAGTCTGACAGGCCTTTAGTATGTTTCCTTAGGGGATCAGACTCTGCCGGTGCGTACCCCTTCCCTCCGAGCTGAATGGCTCGAACGAAGGATGTCACAGCCTGCAAACGGCACAGAAGAACCCCCAGCAAGAAAAATTACTCCATGGTTTTCACTTAAAGCGTGAGCTGCTCATATGTCTGGTGTCTTTTACCAAGAAGAGAGAAGTCTGGCTGCCCCGTGCAGCACGCTTGATGTCGGTAAACGCCTGCCGATCCAGGGAGCGACTCGGGACGTTGAGGGTGAGGGCCAGGGCCATGTCGTTTTTAGAGTTCACCAGCAAACTCAGATAGGAGCAGAAAACTCGTCTCACGGCCCTTTTTATCTTTTCCAATAAAGAAAAAAGATCATTTCATCATTAGATTTCACATTAAGACAAAATTCTATTTTTTTGGTATACCCATGCTTTATGTGTTTATGTCAGATACATAATTGTACCAACGTTTCTATTAATTCACCATAACCCCAAAACACCATATTGTTAAAGCACTGAACAGTTGGCTGAGTTAAACTCATAAAGAATGAAACCTCTATAATAGTGGTAATATAGCAGCAGGTTTTGACTGAAACCTCATAAATTAGGAAGTTACAGAAGAAAGAAGCCTACTGCGCTGCAGAAGCTCCTGTTGAGCTCCACATCTGGGCCCTAATTCACTTCCCATTACACCCCTAAACCTGAGTGATGTGATATAGAGTTCCTGTCAATATGAACAGGATGGATTCCAGACAGGAACGCAAGAAAACAGAGAAGATTAGCTCATTGCTTGCAGGTGTAAAGATTTGCAGGCTAGTACAGTAACATAAGTAAGAGGAGGGAAAATGGAGAGGATTTATTACAGTGGTGGACGTACCTGGCAGCCATAGTTCCTGCTTTGTCTAGATGGTGTTAAAGGAACTAATGAATCTGGGAGATCTGGGGCTTCCATGTTACCCGATAGGAAATCAAACAGTCGCATCTTGGTAAAAAAGAAATAGGAGGAAAGTTTTAGAGGGATTCATATTTTTTTCCCCTTTATTCCTCCAAAAAGATATACTTTATTGCGATTTTGTGTGGTACACAACAAAAAGTTTCTTATCTTGGCACCTGTGACCAGCTTCCCTGTCCCTACATGAGAACAGCATCCCACAGCATAATACAGCCACCCTCATGCTTCACTGGGGGGCTTGTAGGTTCAGGGTGATGCAAAGTGTTGCAACCACAGAATACATTTTGAATGCAGGAAAAAAAAAAAAAGAAACTGGTTCCTACTTCCTCTTACTCCCTTCAGATATAGCTGTTATTTGGTCCTGATTCTGTTTGTTCACTAATGCTCACTATCAAACATCAGAGGCCCTCTCAAAACAGCTGGATCTATGCTGGGAATTAATTAAACACAGTTTGACTCTATTACATAGAGCAGAAATATGTTAACCTTATGCCTTCCTCTAACTTCATAATTACGAAGTGCTCTTAGTTGGTCTCTGGACTCTATGGCTGGTTTGTGAGGCACTCTGGGTGCATTATTCTCATCTTTAACTCCTCTAGTGATAAAATGTTGATTTCAACCTCACCGGACTCACTGGTTCTTCTGGATCAGAGTCTACCCCTCGAAGTTGTTTGTAAAAAGCCAGAACATCCACAAGATCCAGAGTGTTGGAGCGTTTCAGGAATGACTGATACGCCGCCAGGAAGAGATCGTAGTTCTCCAGGCGAGCAGAGCTGGGTGGCGGCAGCTGAAGTTTGTCTGACAGTAGGTGCTTCCAGGTCATCAAGACGTCGCTCAGGGCCACTTTGAACTCTCCACCATGCTGTCAGTGAGAGGAGAAGCCAACGACCAATCAGATCAAAAGGAGAAAAAAACAGAAGACAAACATTTGGAAAGTTGATCAACCTATTATTTTTATTCTTCCATGACATCACCAAAAAAAAAAAAATGGAGGAAAAAGTAGAAAAGCATCTCAGGCGTTCTATTAAATATGGTGAAGGACCTCTGATGCCGTGGGACGTACTTTCTTCCAACTGCATAGTATTACTGGTTTTAAATATAAAAATAAATAAAAAATCTTATGGATTCATTCAAAAAAAAAAAATTAAACTAATTTGTTTGACTGTAGTAAAACGAACAGATATGTTAATTTTTAACCTTTCCAATTTGGTCTTCAGCGGTTAATAAAAAAAAAAAACCCAAAAAATTTAAAACAAATAAAAACTTTTTCATAATACTGAGAAGTTTTCCCATAGGATACATTAGGGTAAAATTACATTTTTGTTCTTAGGATTATGCTGCTGGAATAAAATATTTGTTTTTAAACTGATTTATAGTTTTTTCACACCCTGTTCATTTTGTTTTTACCCCAGGTTAGATCTTTAGAAACCAGCAAATGAGTGAGATGAACTGCTACCTGCTTATTGACCTCTGCCATGGCCAGCTGGAGGATCATCAGCATGCTGTCGGCTCCATGAACTGTGCTCCTCTCGGACTGTAAAACCCTGTGGCTCTCCTTTCGGAAGGTTTTCACCATCAGCTTTAGATGATCTTCAAATGCCTCCATTGTTCTCTAAAATACAAGTTACATGATTAAAGCCTGGTCTGTGAACAGTTGGCCTAGACACACAGCAGGTTTTTCAGGTACGGTGAAATGTGGTGAGGACACATTCCAGCATTGTTGTTTTTGTTGGGTCTCTAATGGACGGATTCGATTCAGTTTAAATATTTCCACTTTTTAACAGATTTCCCCATATCAGGCCATACGTCTGTTTATTTTCACAAAGCAGTGTTATGCAGGGAAATATACAAAATACAAATCCAATGAGCTAAATATAGAGTAGTGATTAAAAAGTACAAAATAATTATTCCTTCAGGTAAAGAAAGCAGATGTTATCAAGACGTTTCTGTGGGTATTATAACCCACAGAAACTCAAATCAAGAACTTCTTATCCTGTTCACTCAAATGGACTTTATGTAAACACGTTGGTAGTCTTATTATGTTTCCAGCCTGAATGAAACTCATGTGGGTCCCATGCACACCTGTTGGTAGAGCTGTCCCATTGCATGTATATAAAAAAGGAAAACAAAGAGTAACCAGCTAAATAAAAAGAATGTCAGTCTAAAAGTACTCGATGATCTGTATTTCTTTTTGACCTTTAACAACAAATAGACAGGGATAAATTTAAGAACCTACAGATATAATTGTTATTACGATTGATGATCTGTTTAAAGCAGATCTAAACCAATGGATCCATACGTGTTGCACAAAAATACGTAAAAAAAAGTCACAAAGCCTTGAATATATGAGCTCAAACCTGTTGTTTCCAGCGAGTCAACGAGATAGATTATGAGCTGCAGATTTGAACGTTTAAATCGAAAATGACGTTCTGCCTCCCAGCCAATCAAATCAAAGCAAGTACCAGTTGTCGTCTTCATATATATATTTTTTAGTTGCTTCATATTTTGCGATCTTTTTAAATGCGGTTTCCAAGCTAAAGATAAAATAAAAGTATGGCAATTCCATTTCTTTCCTAATACTCTTTTAAAGTATCTCTATTTTAAGTTTTATCAAAGACCAAAACCCCCGAACTTCTATCAATGGTACGTTCGGTGACGAATGCGGAAATATGGTTGAAAACAGTCCAGAGGCGCGCTGGGTTTAATTCAACGACTTTGTTTTAAAAGCAACTTGGTAAAGTATTCACACCATTGCTGCTTTTATGATAAAACTTGCTCTTCTGTGAATTACTATTTTATATTTTGTCCATTTGAAATATGAAAATAAGGCACTCATTTTATCTCGTGCCCATGTGACATGTACAGTTAGCTTCAGCAACATGCGTGGTGCAAAAGGAGAGTTCTTATTAAAAATACAGCATGAACTGTTTATTTGGTTCTAAAACAAACAAGGTACAATTTTATTTGTGAAATACATGATATCCGCTTAATTACATTGAGGTAAACTAATTTTATAAACTAAAGGTCCATAAAAAGATGCGATGGTTTGCAAAAGCAGGCTACAAAAAGATTTAGTTTCCCGTTCAAATTTAATTTTTACTGTCCTACAAATACTGTTGAATTAAAAACATGCACAAAAACTGAACGTATCAAACTTGACACACTTTATGTATTGCTCTGCTCTATTGCAGAAAGATATAAACATTTATGCAGGTTTGAGATTCTATTAGGGCTGCAGCTATTGATTAAGCTCTAAATTTGATTAATTGAAAAAGAGATATCTTTATCATTTAAAGGTACTTTTTTTTATCAATATGTTGGTTATTATTTAATCTAAAAAAAATAATTTTTTCAAACTTATATTTGGACTTATATGGGATATCTGCCACAACTCCAATAGTTTACATCCCTGAAAATGTTTATATTTCTTTTGCCAATGTTGCTTAAGCACTGCTCTGGGTGGGATTTATTTATATATATATAATTTTTTTTGTTTGTTTTTTTTGTTATATTTTTCAACAAATTAATTATAATTTATATACTCTGGTTGACAATTTGATCTAATAACCAAATCAGTTAATGACTGTTGCAATATACAACAAACATTCATTTGGATTTTTCCATCTCTATTGTCATTAGTTGAACACTCACAAGAAATTGTATAAAAAAATTTAAAAAAGGAGAAAACTTAGTTTTGTTTTTATTTTAGTTTTTTTTTTTTTTTATACAGTGTCCTGTCTGGCAATGTGGCAATATTAATAATTATCTTGAACCCATAAAGAGCCTAACAGATTTTGCTTTCACAAGTAGAGCAGTACGGCTATCGCCATAGTGTTCCGCTTGATTTATGCATATAAATAGCTTTTATTATAATTCATGCTGGGAGTATTACAGATTTTATGGACACTGCAATGTAAGTAGAACAGGAAAGGAAAAACAGAAAAAAAGGAGAAAATATGAAAGAAAGAGGAGATGACAATAAAACGTTTTCAGTCTGCTTCATCACCTGCAAAGAGATGTAAAAAGAACAGCACAACCAACAGATATAATATAAGAGATACGATAAAGTAGCCCCTTGATGCTATTGCTGAAAAATAAGTAGTATTATTTAAATTGACATGTTTACTGCGATAGCTGAAGATAAGAATATGGGCTTTCTGTATGGAAGTGAATCTATAAGTACCTGGAACCAAGAACCTGTAGTTGTTTGTGAGAGTGCACTTGTGCATGGAAAGTTTATTCAAAGGAATAATGCTCAATAGTGGTTGTGAAGAGTCAAAGAGATGCCCCTCCAGAGCACCGAAGCATGCACCGGGTGACCCAAAGCCCTAGACACCCAAAGGGACCCCAAGAGCAAAGGCCCCTAGGAGGGGCCAACCCAGGAAATCTGACCCCCAACCACGGGAGGAGGAGAAACGACCCTGAGCTATAATGTTTTACCACCTGAGCTATAACTCGGCATAGCTCCTTCAGAGGTGCAAAAGGACTTTAGGCTTCTAGTTTCTCCACGTTCATTGGCCAGGCATCATCTGAGATAGGCGGCTTGATCTTTGAAGGTTTTCAGTCGTTAAATCAGGCATCCCCAAAGTCGGTCCTCGAGAGCCACTGTCCTGCAGGTTTTAGAGCTCTCTCTGCTTTAGTACAGCTGATTCTGATGATTGCAGTACAGCAAAAGCCTGTTAATTTACTATCAATGTAAATCAGCTGTGCTGGAGCAGGGAAACCTCTTAAACCTGCAGGACAGCGGCCCTCGAGTTTGGGGAGGACCGACTTTGGGGATGCCTGCCTTAAATGATGTTTTAAATAATTCTTTGTGAGACTTAAAAAGCTTGGTCTCATTATTATAAACTAACCCTGACCTGTGTCCTCTGTTCCTGATGCGGTCTTCATGTTTGCTAATGTTCTTTAGTAAACCTCTCATGTCCTCTCTAGTCAGGTGGCTGCTTTTATTCTTGGTCGAATCTGTGTTAAACTCTTAAAAAGATTGGAGGTAATTTGCTCATTATCCCTTCTGTAGTGTAACTCTCGAAGCTTAGGCAGACTCAAGTGGCTTCCTTAAACGGGTTTATCGACACCTGTTCAGTCAATTTTTAAGCTCCAATAAATATGAAACTGACATTAACTGCTTACATGGTACAAAATTTAAGTTTACAAAAGATCAGTATCATGTATTTATTACAAAGTATTAATCAAACCCCTCAAAGTCCTCATCCTCTGTTTCTGAATTAAACAGCTGCGCTAAATCCGACATGCCAGTTTCCCCTTCTTCTTCGTTTATTGACGCATAAATTAACTTAAAACATAGGCAGGATAATAATCTGGATGAACTGACTGCAATGATTAAATTTTCCGGTGGGCTTTCTCACTTAAAAAGATTTAGATTATTTAGATGAAAAAACACCTGCTGAGGTGAGTCCGG